GAGCAATATCCTTCAAATGTCTCTGTAGCTTTAACAGCACGAAGCCATACTTTACAGAGACTAGATCACTTTAGGCCCATCTCCTCATGTAGTCTCCTCTATTCATACTCGGTTATGTAATAGACACATCCAAAATGAGGTTTATTTCTGTGTTTGTTACTTAAAACTCCAGATTCCATGAATAGAACACAAAAGGAATATGAGAATAAATCCATGTTAACACTATGTAGGAACAATGAGACCAGTGAGTCCACACTCCCTTGTCTATATCTGGAAGGAAATTCCTCAGCAAAATACCAGACCCAGGTGATAGGTATGGAAGGTACACTGTGCCTCTTAGCATTACAGCTAATTTAAGGACCTATATACATATATATTCATATGCATATTATGTATATATTCATTCTTCTTTTTTTCACCTTTAAAAAACGTTATTTGGTTCCTTGAATTGTCTTGTCTGGAACCTTTTAGATACCTTGTCAATCATCTTTCAGCTTAAATGACCTTTATTGAGAGTACAATCCCTGCAGCATCCCCTGAGCATTGGAGAGCTGTGGTTGTAAGCAAAAGCCAATGGTTCCATTTTTATTTTCTCTGCTCACTTGCTGAGAATCCTTTGCCTAGTTTCCTTTCTCTATCACCAACCACACAAAATTTTATTCCCAGAGACAAAACACATCCATCATGCCAGCTTGAAGTAAATTCCCAGCCAAGGCCTGTCAATACTGAGGCCTAAATATTAATTTGTGGTTGACTTCCAGCCTCTTCTTATTTCATGGCTTCTTTTTCTCTTGGGAGTTTGAAAAGCCCAGGGATATATTTCTGAAATATTCTTTGTTGTTTCTGTTCTCTTAACTGTATTTTGCTTTTTAGCCTCAAAATTCTGCGAATAAAAAAGTCTCATGATAGGAAGTATAACTGATATTCACCATCCCCCAGACCTTCATGTCCAGGATGACTTAGGACTTAAGTTCCATGACAGTTTAAAAAAATTAAGTTACTTAGTTTAGCATGCTGGCATTGAATTAAGGGTCTTCTGCACGCCAGGCTAATGCCTTGCTGCTGATGGCCAGTCTATTCTTTTCTGGATTGCAACAATTTCTTTTGACACCTGTCACTTAGATGGTGAGGGTAGAAACCACATTTTGCTTATTTCCAGTGACTAGAATATTGCAAAAAGAAATTCTTCAAAGCATGCCTGCAAGTCTATGGTAGCAAAATGAGTTGCTTAAGTTAGAATTAAGCTTTACTAACTCTGTGCCTTGGAAAACAAACTCCTATTTCTGATCCTTAACCTCATCAAGAGGTTTCCTCACAATTGACCTGAATCAGGGGATGAGCCTTATGTTGACTGAAACTTGTGTAAAGATTTTCACATTTCCCTCTAAATAGAAGCTATTATCATCAGAGTCTTTATCCCAGAAAGTGTGAGCTCTTCTGGCATCTCTGGAGAAGGATGGACCTGGTTTGGGCCTACTCCTGATATTGATAACACATATAATTGACTTGATTTCTATGCAGTTGTTCAAATGTTATTCTGTAGTTCATAAATACATTTTTATTAAAAATTTCAAAGCTCTGAGACCTTGTTGAACACAGGCTCATCTAAAACTTGGTTTAAAAGAAAGATCTACTCATAAGGACAGCACAATGACAGGGCTACATGTCCCTTACCCTCTCAGAAACCAGAGGAAGCAGTCAGAACCAGTAACCAGGAGCAATGCTCACATATTTCTTAGTGTGCCAGAGCCTTGACTTCATTTGAAATGTGTCTAACTCAGATTTTATCTTTTGTCTGTACAGGACTTTTTCAATGACAGCATGCCACTAACCAAGTGATTCCTATACCTAATGATCAAATAAAGTCAAAAGGTCAGCAGAAAACCCTGTGAACTTTGTGTAGTGTCATCTAGGATGATGTCAGCAGGCATCAAGTGCTGAGCATGCTTTTCTGTAGCAATGCCAATGAGCTTCTGAGTGGTTGTCATTTGACAGGAGAAAATACACTATAATGTCTAAAAGAATGGCTTTTGATTACTTAGACTTGGACACAAACTTGTTCTCTGATTTTACTAAGAATGTGACTTCTAAGCCTCAATATTTTCTTCTGTAAAATGGGTATACAGTTATTCACCAGTCAAACCAAGACTTCTATAAAAATTAAAGATAGAGTATCATTTAATACATTGGGTACTTAATAAAAAGTGACTGCGCTCCCTGTAATAGCTAGAGATCTTATGTAATAATCGCAATATTGATCTTACTGTGATAACAATAATTCTTAGAAATGGCAATTAATAGCTTCAGAAGTTATAAATATCAACTTATTTATCCCCCTGACACAGCACATAAGTGTAAGCCTAATGACTATTACTGCTTCAGGTTTAGAGCTAAGACTCATAGATGTCAAGTAAAAGATTTCAGCTTGACTGTGAACCAAAGTACATAACCATTTTCTGCTGCCTTCTTACATAATGATGCTGTTGCAGTATTGTCGTGACATGGATGGCGAGTTTTAGATAGCTCATTAAGACAAGGTATCCATCACCCTACTGTGGCCCTGTAACCATGTACACCTACATCCATACACATGGAATGGGTTTGTGTCCACTAGGTGGCATTGCTGTTTTAGCAAAATCAGAACAGAGCCAACATTTAGGTTTAAGAGTCTGTTACATTTGAGAGCACTTGCAGGACACTTCTAATTTCGCCCTTAAAGTCTGATGAAATTTTAGAGCACATGTAGAGATCTGTGAAGACTAGTGATGTCTTGAAATAATTATGAAAAGTTCTCTTTGGGTGTCAGTGCCTCTGCAGGAAGCCCTGATGAAATGCGCAGTTATCCGTCTCTCTTCTATTGGCTCATAAGAAAATAGACTGAGGGTCAGAAAGGGAAAGTGATTGTCCACAGGAACCCAGAGCCAGTGGTTTTGTCTGCAGCTTTCTTATCATAATTTCTATTGAGGATGAGTCATAAATAAACCGTGAGAGCTTCCCTTTTGTGTATGAGGTCAAAGATGGCTAAATAATTTCCAGCTTTCATTTCACTGGGATTTAAATGTATGTTCCAAACGAATACTACACTCAAGAACCTGGATATTAAGTGGTATCTTACTTTGTTCTGGTACACTCCTTTGGAAAGATTGGAGGCCTCTGTATACAAAGGGCATCCCTATGAGTTGTGAATGCAGCAAGCAGCAGGTAAATAGGTGAGCACAAGACCCCGGAATCAGATTTCCTGAAGTGGACCCTGGGCTGTCATGGAGTTACCATGAACCCCTTCTGAAGCAGTGAACTATGCTAGGCCTCTATAGGCCTCTGTTTCTGCAGTAAAATAGGACCCCCTTTTTTCTTTACTCTTTAGACTTTTATGAAATTGAAATGTCTACAAAGTATCTCTGATACAATAAGGACATAGGTAAAGATAGCAATATAGTGGACTAGTCAGAGTCCAGCTACTGGTGCCTCTTGGTTGGGATCTCAGCAATTTATTTTCCTGCCTCATGATGAACCATTGGAAAGGGGAAATAACATCTCAGGTTCATCATTGTGTGGTATTCCTTCTTCCTCAAACACATGTCCCATAGGCAGCCTAGATCACAGCCGTAGATTTCATTGTATGTTCACAGCAAATTCAAATGAAAACAGTTGTGGGCTCCAGGCACTTATTTGGTGGCAACTAAGCACAGGGCTTATAAAAGTATAGCAGAAACTTAGTGGGCACCTGTCTTGTGTTGTGCTTCTTATGATATCCCGGTGACCTAAAACTGTGCTTTGTCCTTTTCAAAGATTAGAGATCTGGGATCAAGGAACTTGCTCTACATTGCAATCTACAGAGCCAGGATTTGGACTCAGGTTGCCTGCCTCTTAGCCTGGAGGCAGTCATTTCTGCTTTTGCTCTAGCTTTTCCATGGTGAGGTGGACATGTAGCTCTGCTACCTAGGAGGGAAATGTATTAAGAGAGTCTGCTGCTATTTTTATGGCAGTTCATTAATGAGATTAACTCATTAAACAATCCTTAGACTGTTGAGTTTAACAGGGTGAAACAAAATTACAGTAGGTCAGAAGAGGGCTTGCCTGAGATGAGGCACCCCTGAGACTATACCCTAAGAGGTCAAAAGTCATTATAGCTGAAAGATGTCCCTGATTAATTTGTTACTCTGTACTGCATAGCCTCCAAGACCATAGTCATCATCTGTGATTCAGAATCCCATATAGAATTCATGTGTGTACATGCACATACCTGTATGCCCACATTTGTATAAACATGTATGTGGGACAACCTTGGCTGTTGCTTCTCAGGAGCTGTTCACTTTGTTATTTTGAGATAGGCTCTCTGGCCTAGAGCTCAGGCAATCTAGGCTGGCTGGCCAACACACCCAGAAGTCTGCCTTGTCTACCTCCTCAGTGCTGAGATTATAAGTGGGGTGCCATGTCTTTAAAAGCAAGGATTCTGGGCATTACACTTACGTCATTGTGTATGAGCTCTTTTCCCAGACTCTCCATGTCAAATTCTTGAATTTAGATTCACAAAATCCATAGCTATCTTCTGGACTGCCTGCTGCACCTTCACAAAGAGGGCAGCTGGGGTACTCTGTGCTTATGGTGTATCTACAACAATCTTTGAGAACCATTCATTATATTACTCCATACTGTGCCCACTTCCCTTTGAACAACATTATCTTGGAGAGCTAGGAAATGTCCTTGCTCCCACCAACATTTTCCCTTCTACAAGAATCCAAATTCACCCAAGAGTACCCGTTCTTCCCTTATGGATAGCATATTTCTATTTCTTCCTTCTTCCTCCATTCAAAATAACTTTTATGGTGCAAGGAGATAGTGACAATTGTTAAGAGTATAAACCAATTTCATTTTCTCAGTAGAAACCAGGTTTTCATGCAATTTAATTTAGGGCTGTGAAGATGACCTTACTAAACAGGACTAAGGCACTTTCAAGGGAGAACTTCCAGAAATAAAACTCAGAGGAGACTCACACTTACCGATCTCAGTCATCGTTATCCCCGGAGCTAACTGCCCATTGTTGAAAGAGCTATAGGTAAACAAGTTGGGTACGGATGTGAGGTCATAGATAGGTTCTTGCTTTATCTGTTTGATTCCAGTCATGTCCAGTCCTGACTGATCGGGAGATGGCTGACCAGAATCTATGTTGTAATATCCCTCGGATTTCGGCAAGTCGATGACGTGCCCATTGGCGTAGGTGCCGCCGGTCTCGGTGTTCAGGTTGCTGAGGCCATTGCTGATGCTGCTGCTGTACACCCTGGCCAGGGCCTCTGCCTCGCCACTCTGCTGCTGCCGCTGCTCCTGCAGCCGCTGCTGGTGCTTCTGCACCTCAGCATATAGGCTATCCCGCTGCTTTTTGGACATCCTCCCGAACTTTACAGCTGGGATGGGGAGAAGAGAAATAGACAGCAGTGTGGTTACCATTAGCTTTAGCCATTTCACTCCAAGGGACATGGGTGGTTGTCCCTTCAGTATCATATAGACAAATCCCTACTGTTCCAAAGCAGGGCTTCACTCATTTACATTTCACATTTAGGAAAGATTATATATTTGAAGGGTGGGTTGGTTTGCATCAGAGTGATGAAATGTGTGTTGTCAGATTTCTGCCACTATAGCTGATAACTGAGACGATCAACTTAAAAGTAGAAAATGTTTATTTTTGGCTCACAGTATCAATGGCTTTTTTGTCAGTGGCACAGCAGGATACTATGTTGGAGAAGTTGTGGTAGAGCAATTCAACCCAAGCAAGCTAAAGAGAGGAAAAGGAAGGGGCTGAGGTCCCAGTATTTCCTTCAGAGGGACACTCTCCAGTGACTTAAGTCCTCTCTCTAGGCTCCACCCTGTAAAAGTTCTATAACCTCTCAATAGTGCCATCCTTAATGCATGTGAATATATTTTGGTGACATTCAATATCCAAACAGCAACAGTAAGCTAGGAAGACATGTAAAAATGTGTATTATTTGTCACTGCCAAGAAATTGGAAGAGGTATTCATTTCCCTCTCTCTCTCCATTTGTGAGTAGCATGTGCAAACCAAAACAACATACCTCACGAGACTAGCAAAGGTTTCCTGCTATTAAAATGGCCTCCATAATCAATACTGACTTTCTTTTCTATCATTAGGATTGCCAATTCCTTGGGGAAAAAACCTATTGTTTCAGTTTGGGACATATTTTATCGGTAAGAACAAGGATTCAGGGGTGTGAAAACTTCACCAGTTGCCACCATTTTGGATTTTGGAGCAAATAATCAGAACCTTTGGATGGCAGCATTTGTATGCACTGGACCAGCAGGAGCAACTTTACTTATCATCCCAGCTCTAAGGTTTATTTTGCCCATTTCTTGCAGCCCAAACCTCAGGCATTTTGAGGGAAACCGAGGGAGAGGCTCCATGAGTGTCTGGGAATAATATAAAGAGGCTTTCACCCCCGTGCACAGCTTCCTGATTTGTGGAGCACAGCCTTTGGAACTGTTAGGGATAGCGACTTCTTTTTCACAAGCCGTCAACCTCTCTCCCACCTCTCTTTCAGCACGTGGTCATGTTGGGTGCTGGGCTGCCTGGTTCAAGTCATTTTGCATTCTGCGCCTCATGCTAATGATGGGGACTATGGTAGTCTTGGAGATGCTCATCTGAGTTTATGATTTCTTTTCTTTGGTGGTGGTGCCAGTTTCCCCATGGTTTGTTGATGTCAGGACCTCAGAGGGTGTAGAAAGGAGGCAGATGAGTGTAGAAACGGATCAAAATTCAGTTGTTAGGGCTGGAGTTTTTTTCTAAAAACTGCCACGCAGGCAGTGCTTACAGTCTCTCCAGCTCAGAGGTTCCACAGAGGAGGCCTGCAATTGTGAGGATGCTGCCATTCACTCCCTGCAGCATTCATCCAAATTCATCTTCCCTTTGCATTGGGACTGATGCTGCCCAATCTTATCTGAGTGTGGGTTGTTCAAAATGGAGACCCCACTTCCCAGCCCTGATTACTGAGAAATGTGACGTGTGATTAACAGGATGTGCAGGCTGACAGGAGTCTTCAGATACTCCTAGGTATAGTGGCATATTTTCTCCCTTCTTGCCTGCCAGATTGAGGCTGTGACTGGCTGGACTTTAACACCCACAATCTCTCCCTCATTCTTTTTACTCCTTAATCTTTCTAAAAGAAAATTCCTGTCCCCTGGCTTTTCAATGCTGCCTAAGTAGGAAGACGAAGCAGTAATTATCCCGTAGTTTTTCTCAATGAAGAGAAACAATCTAATTAACTACTAGCAAACTCTCTTTTTCCCTCTCAGTTGTTGCTTTTACTGGGTCTTGAATTGGTTTAGATCATTGGATTGTGTTTAACTTGCTGTGTAGACACAGCTGTTATTAGACTCTGCTTTTCAAAATTTGTTTTTGGAGTGTAGTGGTATTTCCGCTTGACCATGGGCAGAATGCTACAGAATGGTTAGGGAAACTTCTCCTTGTACTTTTATATTGTGTCATGACAAATAATTTACATATTGTTCTCTAGCGAAAAATGCCATTTTTTTTTAGACAGGGTTTCTCTGTGTAGTTTGGTGCCTGTACTGGATCTCACTCACTCTGTAGACCAGGCTGACCTCAAACTCACAAAGATCTGCATGGCTCTGCCTCCTGAGTGCTGGGATTAAAGGTGTGTGCCACTACCGCCCAGCGGAAAATGCCATTTTTATAAGGGAAATTAAATAATATTAAACATTGACTCAGGAGGACTGCATCCCAAGAACGTGGTATTCATCTGCCCTATTGCCGACCTTTGTATTTGTGTCAGCTCAGATGGCTCTTATGACAGCTCTAGTCTTCTCAATACAAGAACTTAGTCTATTGCATAAGATTACAATTTTATAGTAACTTTATAGAATAGGTTTAAATTATAGGAATTAATTTTTTACAGGTTTAAATTTTACTGAGTTAAAATTTACAGGTTTAAATCACAGGAATTAAAAACCAAGAGTGAGCCAGTTTTCTCCCTGGGATCAGAACTGCCTTTTAAACATACTTGCCATTTAACCCTCAGTTTAGATTTCTGCGTGTTTTGAGGCAGAGTGATTGTATTAATGACCCCAATTCCTTCTACCTGCATCCTTTCATGTTCTCTACGTCTATTCCCAATTCCCTTTCATTCTGTGCAGGCGTGCTGCCCAACCCTGGACTCCCAGTCACATGACCTGCCTAGGTCAATGGGTTATTGACAAATCTGTTGCAAGCAGAGACCTGAAAAGGGCCTGTTTGATTGGGCACCTCACCATGGCAAGGACATGCCTGAACTAGATTGCTGAACAATAGGATATGCAAAGCTGATTCAGGCCACTTCTATATTACCCAAGCAAGGCCATCCACCATCAGCAGGGTCACAGACAGACCAGCAGCCAAAGCATGCCTCCATGTGCTGTTAACTATAGTCCTAGTAATTAGAGCTAATGATGTTGGAAAAGTATGTTGCCAAGGGCTCTGCTGTAATCATCTGACAATTCGACAGAAAAATGTTCATCTTTTGTACGAGGCTGACTTATCAGGTGACAGAGCAATTGGAATATCTAGAAAGAGGCAACTTAAAGAGACTAGAGTTTGGAATGCTCAGGCTTTGTCTTAAATCAAAGACTTTATAGACAATGACTACAAAGCTACTCCAGGACAAGTTTTCCATTTATTTCAGAAAAGTGTTTCAGTTTTATGTCCTCTCCTGTAATAAAGCTGGTGATGTACTCCAGGGCAAACTGTACTGTACACCAAGAAAATACACCTACTAAACTTCTCTGACGTAGAAGTATTTCCTGGCTATTATCTACAGACACCGCGATGTATTTATTCAAAGCTCCACTTTAACAAAGGCCATCTACTGTTATATTTTCAAGTATTTGCATGCTTCTTATTACCCCTCATGGGTGAGCACAGCACATATTTTAACCATTTGCCTCTCTCACACCTGATTTATTCTGCTAATGACATTCGCTTGAGTATAGAGACAGTTTCTTGTTAAATTGCCATGTCTTAAGAAAGCCAGCATGATTCTGTATACACTGCATGTGATTTACAAATACTCAGGATGACATCATCAATACACAATACATGCTTAACCCTCATTTCAATCCCACACTAGCAAAGAAAACTTCTATGTAGGAGGGTCAGAAATCACATCACTTTTGTTTACAGTGTGGGATTCTAAGTAGAACAGAAGTTCTCAGGCTGACTAGAAATTAAAAGTCACTGCTCCATCAAAGAGTTCTGCTTCCTGCTGCACGAGAACCGAACAGTTCTTTTGGGGACTCCAGCTGTGTAACCATCACCTGTGACTCTGGGGTCATTTGGGAATCGTTGTGTCTTACTGTCTCCAAGTCTCCAAGTCTCTGGGTTTCTACCTGATTCCCATTAGTGAAACGTGCCCTAGTTTAACTCTTTCAGCATTGGAGATGATCCATCACCTTTACGGATCTAAACTTTGTAGTAAAAGTCTGATTCAATGTACTCATTTCAAATTCTCTCTCATGTCATCCAGTCCTTAGACAAACTTTAGATGTAGAATGTAGCTTCCACTATGGTAGTTTGTCACTGACTATTGAGCACTTTCAACAAAGAAGTGTGAGTAAAGGCCTGTATGTTGACTTTTAATTGAAATTTAAATCATTTAGTGATATGTGTCGCATGACCCAGTTCGGGATACAAAACACTTTTCTGTGAAGCTTGTCTGTACACAGGACCTTACCAGTGTTTTCATAGGGGTATGACATCTATGGGAACACACCTGATACTTAAATATTATAAATTAATTTTTCACCTTCTAGATTTTTGCATGGTAAATATTAGGCTTCTTATTTTTGGGAATGTGTGGTCTAATATCTTCATATTGATACCAAACATTTCTCTACAAATAGTTCTACTGAGGATTGATTTGTAGAGCCCAGTTAACAGACAAGCAAAAGCCAAGCATGGGGGCACATGCCTATTATCCCAGCACTTGGGAGGATGAGGCAGGAAGACCATCCTTGTCTACACAGTGAGTTTGAAGCCAGCCTGGACAATAGACTTGGATTATAAGCAAGCAACCAACCAAAATAACAAACAAAAAAGGAGAATATACATTAGGAAGGTGAAGATTCAAGATATGTGGTACCTATTCAAAGGATAGGAAGTCAATGATGTGAATAGTAAGCCATCTGTTTACCAGAAGCCATGATGTTCCAGTGACCAGATGTGGTGAAGTGAGACCCAGGCATAAGTGGCAGCCAGCAGATGCCTGTACCAAAGTGTATCATTGAGGGAGACGTGAGGACATCTTACCTTGGCTCCTGTACTACTGCTAAAACACTGTGCCAGGATTTGTTGAGTCAGTAAATGGGAAGGATAATTGAAAAGTGGTAGGAGATATTGCATTGCTCATTCTCATGTCCTGTTTAGACAAGGTGAAAAATCATAGCTGCAGAACTTTAGGGTTATTGAGTATCATATACTACCATCACTTACTGGGACAGATAAATCCCCATCAGCCCTGACGCTAGTGCGATTTGTTCAGGATCAAGGTCATTTATAACACACTATAGGGCTACAAGAAAGTTGGGGCCAACGTTCATAGTATAAGAATGTGTATGAATGACTAAGAATGAAAAAAAGAGGTAAAATTCTTTATTGACCATGCTTGAATTTTTCACCTTGTATCATGAATCCAAGCAATTGGTTGTGTGTGGAGGAGAAGCACAGACAATCCATAGTCTGAGTGGAAATACAGGACCCCTGAATGCATTTGCACTCTTCATCATGGATCAGAATAGTCCAGGTCTCTCACTGGGTATTTATGAACAGCCAATGAGCTGTCTCATTCTCCATGAAGGTGTATTCTGCTCCTGGTATCCCATGCACTAAGTAACTGTGTATATCAGATAGCTCTGGTGGATGAATGGCTTCTCCTCACCTAAGGCTTTCTGACTTTAGCATCCCACATCCTAGAAAAGCCCTCTTTCCCAGAAAATGTGGCCAGGTAGTCATTTACTATCTAGCCTTACTAGGTCTTCACTTAACCTAGATAGTGTTGGCTGCTCTGCATCACCCGCCCCCGCCCCCCCACCTTCCTTTTTCTTATTTCTCAGGCAATTCTACATTTGATATGTTCCTGCTTCACTTCTTAATTCACAACCAGCGCTCTGGTTGTCTTTTCATATCCCCAATTCCCACAGTTAAAACTCTTTCAGTGACTTGAATAGCCTCTAGCCAAGCGTCCATTTGAAACCGCTAAGAACCAGGAAGGCAGAGGCTCACCATCTCTCGACATTCCTAGGGCAAGACACTTCTGCAGCCGGCAGTGCTGGCAACGGTTCCGGTTGGTTCTGTCAATCAAACAGTTTCTCTGCCTTGGGCAGGAGTAAGAGGCATTGTTCTGCTGGCTCCTCCTGAAGAATCCCTAGGGAGGGCAAGAGAAAGTGAGGGCAGGAGACTCAGAGAAAGGGCAACATTAGCATACACACTGATAGACTTTCCACACCAAGTATAGCTAGCTGAGTTTAACCTTTCAAAAGTTTTCAGCTGCTTCTCGGAGAGCGTATAGGTGCTTCTGAGCAGAATGTATGTGCATATTTATGGACATGTGATGGTATCTTTCTTTAATTGTTCATTCATTCATTCATTCATTCATTCATTCATTCATTCATTCATTCAATATTTACTGAAAGAATTTCTTTGAAGAGAAAAAAGTTTTGCCCCAAAGGAACAACAGGGAAGGAACATCAAGGAGACATGTCACTATTAAACCAAGGAGGGCAAAGTCTGATGGAGACATGGGCCTGGGTTTGAACTAAGAGTGTGTGTTTTGGTAGGAGGCACAGCATCAAGCAGTGTGGGCTCAGCATCAGCTCCATTTCCCCCCACGTTCTAAAATGTATTTTTCCAAATCTGAAAAAAAATCAAATTGTCCAGAAAGTGTTAATTTTTTTTTTTGAGGTAAAGCCTCACCATGCAACTCTGGTATTTCTGGCTGCCCTAGAACTAGATTTGTATACCAGGTCGGCTTCAAACTCACAGAGATCTGCTGCCTCTGCCTTCCTAATGCTGGGCAGAAAGTTGTTTCTGAAACCCATGGTGCATCTTATCATAAATCACATTTTGAGTCAAAGAAATACTAAATACAACTTCTTCGATATAAAGCAGGCAACAAACATGCCAACTTTTTGGTTATAGGATATAAGAGTTCTTATTTCAGGTAGGTTTGGATTTTTCTGATGGAAAAGAACTACAATTGACTACACACTGCCCCTTGAAGTCTGTAGCTGGGTTTATTTTTATTTTTTAATTCTTTGGATACCAACTTCCCTTAGTTTCCTTTTAAAGAAAACATAATAAGGAAAATAAACATTTTCCCCAGAGACATGGAAACTACCATTCTCTGTTCATTCCCCCAGGTAACCAGTTTCCCCAATCACTGTTTGCTCTCAAAATGCCTACAGCAGACCAATGAAAGTGAAAAGTGCTACCAGCAAAATGATGGTCTAAATAGAAATATTTAAAAGAAACACAAGGAAAGATAGCTCTCAGCTTTGTCTTTTGGAAGTGAAAAACCTCCAAGAGGCCCAAAATAGAGCCCCTAAGTTTTTTCAAACACCTAGGTTTCCCCAGGAGAATGGAGCAGGGCTGGCTAAAATAAAGCATGCGAGAAGACCAACTTGGATATGAAATTTACGGTTCAATAAAAACAAAGGCAATTAGGAAAAGGGGGATATTTCAATAAAGTGTTAAAAATCAATAGCAGTGTGAAGATTCTTGACACTTTAAAGAAAGGATTGATACTGTTGATTTTAGTTTTGCCTTGGATTTCAGTATGTCTTAGTTTGGCACAATGAAGAGGCTTTGCTGACCAAAAGGAACCTTAGAATGGTTGTGTGGCCAATGACCCCCTGGAGAGAGATTCCCACTTGAGCTTATGGTTTAAGCACAGATCCACTCAGGAAGGACTACTTTCACCTCTACATCTTCATGTGTGGTGTTTGTTCATTACACTAGTGATTGCACAACAGGGCTCCATGGTTTCAGTTTTATTGGATTCTGGAAACAGTCCCCAGGGGCTGAAATGCCTCTTTTATGTACCAAGAAAGCTGTGAGGAAGCATCATCACAGTGTCCTGGTGCTGATTAGAGATGCTTTGGAGTTTACATCTTAAGGAAGAATCGCATGGATTTTATCTTTGGATACTGGAGTGCCACTTAGTAAAAGAGTTGGCAGGGAAGACATTCTGAAGTCACAGCCACAAGCCCTAATTTACAGCCAATTTGATATTAATTATGAGTCATTTCTTGCTTATCTGTTGCTCATTATTGCAAGTGAGATTTTTGGCATGAAAAATAGATTCTGTATCATCACATTTTACTGTATGAGTAGGAACCGAATAAGTTTGTGAGCTCAATTGATGTTTTCAAATGGTTGTGTATGTTGACTCCAGATCATTATTGTAGAAACTCAAAGAGATTGATAGCTGAACGTCTTGACATTGACGTCTGATTTTGAATGGAATTTCTACTGGAGAAACTTGTAGCATATTTATGCATGTGGGTTTTTTCATTAAATAAATAAAAGTCATGTGATGTGTAGCCAGTTTGACAAAAACTTCAGAATATGCTTCCTAGTGACTGTGTAATTTCTTTGACAGTGGATTAAAAAGATGATGGGAGTTCAACCACTGTTCCTGCTGTTGACATGTTGGGTTATGCTTATCCAATATTTAAGAGCTTATGGTTTAAAACTGCTTCTTAAAATGAATATATCTCTGCAGTTTGAAGTCCAACATTTTCCAAATGCCTTATATGATGTAATAATGAGCATGCAGCATTCATATATGAACAACTTAAGTGGATATGTTGTAAACTAAACTAGGGCCCTTAAACCTGCAGAACAAGCCTGAAGAAATGCCTTCACCAGAAAGAGTTCTCATTACACACTTACTAATATTTATGACAAAAAGTATTTGTCTGCCTACCCAGAGAAAATAACTTACTTATGGAGGGTATAAGAAACAGCCAACTTCGTATTTGCTTTATTGTTTCTTATTGATGGAATAAAAAGTAGCATGATAGTGGATGATACATAATTCTTAATTCTAGCTTTATAGAGGAATATAATAAAGGGCTATCTCGTCAGCTTTGCCTAAGGATATAACTGATCATCTCCATTCCAGACTATTCCACTATGCTGATTTTTCTTCTATCATATTATTTTCACTCATTTCTTTTTATTTTATTCTCTGCTTTTCCAATCCAAAGTACTTCATTTTTTGGACTTGTGAAGGCACTATCAATTTTCAAAGAGTAGTGCTATTTTGGCAGTTATAATCTGTTTTATCCTGTTTACATTTAAAATCTCTTAAGATTATGATTGAATCCTAGAGTCTATGACTATGCCACATCTTTCTCAGTTTACTGAACTCAAATAAGTGATTCATCTTGCCTGCATATTGCTAATGACATTGCCAACATCCACCATGCCCCCTGCATATGGCATTTGAGTTTTGTTCTGGTTCTGCCCATCCCTTGAAAACTCACTGTAGAACTGTTTTGAGTGCCCCTTGCTATTCTCACTCTTCCCTTCTTTCAGATTACTTTATAAACCTTCCTCTTAATTTTCAAATTTTGATTATCTCAGGTTAGGTCTGTGGTAGCTGCTATTCCCTTAGCCCTCTATTTTCCAAACACCTTATTCACAGGAATGAGTTTGCTATTGGGTTGATGGAGTCTCTCCAAGGGAATACTGGACAGAATGTGAAACAACCTGTGCCCTTGACCCATTTCTTTTCCATATCTATATCAGTGGCATATGTCAAAGAAGATCTTGTTTATACTTCAGGAACTCATTGAAAAATTAAAATTTGGGTAAGGATGACTTTTGACTGATCTAGAGTCCACTTCTAACATCTAATGCTTCCAGTGTTTTTTAAATTTTATTACTATTTTGATATTTTGAGTGTATGAGTATTTTGTCTGCATGTATGTCTATGTACCATGTGTGTGCAGTGCCCAAGTATATCAGAAGAGAGCATCAGATACCCTTGGCCTGGAGTTACAGATGATTGTGAACCACTATGTGGTTCTGGGAGGTGAACTTGGGTCCTCTGGAAGAGCAATTAGTGTTCTTAACCTATGAGATAGCTCCTCAGCCATTGTCAGCAGCAGGCACAAACATCCCTCATTGTGTCTTCTTTAAAGGCTTTACATACCACCACAATATGGAAGTCCCTACCTTGCAGCCTTCACACGTGATGACTCCGTAGTGGATCCCGGAGGATTTATCGCCACAAATTTTGCATGGTATCACTTCAATTTGTGCTGAAAGAGTAAAAAACAAACAAACAAACAAAACAACAAAAAAATTTGAATGTCCATAATTGCCTTCTTTTATTTTTCTTGTTTCTATGTTCACATTTACCTGTTTTTGCCAAGATGTTTGTGTTAGATGCTAACAGTTAGAGGATGCTGGGTGAGAGTGATGTCCTAGGGTCATCATTACTAATTGAATGGCCTTCCTAGCCTTCTTCTAAGGCAGTGGTTCTCAACCTTTAATACAGTTCCTAATGTTACGGTGACCCGCCCCCCCACCATAAAATTATTTTTATTGCTACTTCATAATTATAATTTTGCCCCTGTTATGAATTGTAATATAAATATCTAGATTTTTCCAGTGATCTTAGGGGATCCCTGTGAAAGGGTTGTTCGACCCCACAGGGGTCACGATCCACATGTTGAGAACGGCTGTTAGGAAAAGACATCTATTTATCACTCTTTGCTTTTTCCAACTGAATTTAATACACACACACACCCTTCTTGCACATGCATGTTTAGAGACCAGATGTTTTCTCCTGCTTTCAATGTTTTTTCCTTTTAAAACTTGTCTTCCTTAAAATAACATGACAGAAAAAGCCTGTGAACTCTGCCTTTTTATTTCTTATTTTACATTTGAAATAGGAAATCATTAGGAGTTTTTTACATGCCCTTATCTCAATAATATTTTAAGTGGCTAAATAAAGCAAGACTGGAGTGTTGGTATATGGTGACTGTATACGTTGTGTGGATGGATGGACTGGTCATCTCTGAGAAAATAACTTTAATGATCAACTAAACATTAACTGAGCATGCTTTAAATGTCTGTAAGGACATGGAGACATGACTCAGGAGAAGATATGGTAATGATTTTGATAGTCTCATTAATAAAAAGTTAATAATGAAGAAGTCAAAAAAGTTGTATAGGAAGTTAACGTGCACTTAATTTCACTGGGAATGAAGAGGTTTCATTTTTTAAAAAGGGTATAAGAGATAGTTTATTTTGGGGCATATTTGAGTGACCATGGCCCAGGTCATAGATTTAGGTTATCCCATATTCCATGTTGAAATGTGGAAAGAGTTTCATACAATTTTAGAGTTTTACAGAACAAAGGAAGTCATAAATCAAGGCAAGTTTGGAATACATTGATGAGTACCTCAGAGGGGTGGTCACAGCAAGATAGGGGAAGCTTTTCTATAGGTCTCAGATGTTGTCTGATGACATTCTGAGCTTCTGGGTTGATGGAAGCTAGTGATCTGCTAAATTAATAGATTCCAAAAGAGTTTTATCTATTAGTCATAGGTTGTTAGTTCTGACACAGTGGTGGGAAAAGAATGCCTATCCAGGGGACTAAAGCAAGCCTAAGATAAGGTAATTATCCCTGGACCTGCAACACCGCAACTACTCCACATCACTGCAGCTCTAATCAGGAAGACAGCTCGTTGTACAGAGTCTATGGAATTTGGTTAGGCTGAAGAGAAAGGAAAGGGGCATTGAATGAAAACAGGTCAGAGGTCTTGTATGACTGTGTCCGGCTACCACACAGAGCAATTGGCTCTAAGGGAAATTTGGGTCATATGGCTACACAGAAGTGTGACACCAGACTTTGGAGCCACTAGAGTTGGGCAGGGGAGTTTTCACCTGATGCTATTTGCTACAAGGAATGAACAAAAGGAAGAGTGACTAAATGGTGAAGACAAGGCTGGTTGTAGCTCTGTGTTAGTGTGCTTGCACAGTGTGAGCAGATTCCTAAATTCAGTCCTCCAAACCAATCCCTCTGTAAGATGTGAAGGGAGAACCTTAGAGCTTAGCAGGCTAACTAGAGAAAACCAGAAGACCAGTGAAAGTTATTCCTGACCCGAGACTGAGGCAATGGCACTGTACAAGGTATTGGACAAAGGGAGGTGAAGAAGCAAGTTCGAAAATGGTTCAGAGGCAGAAGTGAGATTAAATGCTGAAAGATAAGGAAAGTGGAAACTGGTGAAGAATTGAAAATGAGATAGTGATAGGACTGACTGAAATGGTGACACTGGGGCTGGGGATGTGGTTGAGCCTTGTCTAGCATGCGTGAGAGCTAGGTTTGGACTTGGAACAGAAACAGGGACATTTGTGGAGTATGTTGTGATGTGGGACTGGGACACATGCACTTTTATGTGGCATCTCACAGGCACCTGAATGTATAATGTTTTGGAAGGATGATTTTTGTCATCATTTAGGTTATTTAGAATGCAGGAATTCCTGTGTTTGATAGTACTCTAAAGTGTTGTTAAAATTATTCACACTAGAAAGATCTGCTATTTCCTTTCCCAATTTAAGATAATTATGCAAAATATCCTTCAAAATGCTTTGTACATAAAGTTGACACTTGCATACACTACTATAGTTTTCTACTTTCAGATAGATATAAAAAAGAAATAAATGTAAAGCATTACCATCTTTTGTTATTACTTTACATAAATATAATACTTAGCCTTAGGGTAACAGGTTAAGTTTTTAAAAATTAAATAAGCTACAGAAATTTGAGTTCTCTCTCTTATTTTGTAAGATAAAACATTGAAGGAAGGAAACTGGGGATGTCAGTATGACTGAAATGATTTCAGGATTTTGGGGTGGGGAAATATGAGGTTTGGCTTTATTCTTATTTGACCTCCTTAATCTATTCATTAGAGCTATAGCTAAGATAAAACCTCCAAACCTACGTTTTGTCACTTATAAATACAGTATTCATCAACAAACCTCATAGAATTGTGAGAATAAAATGGGTATTTTCTGAAGAATGTCACTGCATCATCATCATCAACATCATCAACAGCATCACCATCACTATACCCATTAACTGATTTTTTTTCTAATGATTTTGGAAAAGAAGCACAATTTGACATATTATTGTATCTTTTTAAAAGATATTTTAAAAATAATTCAATGAATCACACTATGACTTATTTATACTATGGATTTCAGTTTAACAGTAACATTTCAAACAGTGGGATATTTATAGTTACTATAAAATGACCTAAATAATCCCAGGTAGCCATTTGAATAGTTTTTGGCTTGTATGATATTAAGTCAGAGGCTCTCTTTGCATAAATTACTCCCCAGGGAGTAGCTTACATGTGGGAGAATCTGCTTCAATACATTCTTAATTATAAAATGATCTAACTTTAAAGGAAATGAAAATAGAGGTAATTTGCTCCCTGAGGTGTAGGAAGATGTTTTTGAAAGACACAAAGGTTATCTTATACATCTTCAGAAATACAAATGAGATAAGGAACATTCAATAGAGCATCTGCATATTTATACATATTCATAACCTTGGCTCTACATGTAATCCTGGAGAGCTACAAACATTTTCACAGCATTTTTAAAGAGAGAGAAGTCACCTATAACGTATATATGTGTTATGATGTGGGAGAAGTTTAGAAATCTTGTGGCTGTTTTTCTTCTGGCAGGATAAATCATCTGAGGTTTACTGGAAGTGAGGATAAGTCCGAATCATTTAAAGTAGTAGTTACTTTCCCTTCCCCTCATTAAAATCCCGTTTCTGAGCTGTAACTTTACAGTTTTAACTTTGTGTTTCATGCAGCATATCTTCACGACAGGCTTTCAGACACCATTGAGAATACTAGACTACATCATTGCTCAGTGCTTGCTGTTTCTAAGTGTCTTGCTGAGGGCAACTACATGACCTCCCCTGGAACTGTACTGTGCAGATCCAGTACCATGTTCTCGATCATTGTTTCAAACTGAGCATCATAGGGGGCTGTGGCTGCTTGGACCTCACCAGCTATGACAAAGAAGATAAGAGGAGGAAACTGAGGAGGGAGTGGTCTTCGGCACTTTTGCCTGACTCATGGAGATTTATTGTCATCTGTCTATCTATCTATCTATCTATCTATCTATCTATCTATCTATCTATCTATCTATCTATCGATCTATCGATTTATCCATCTATCCATCTATCCATCTATCCATCTATCATCTATCATCGATTTTTCAGTTTAAGTCATTGAGAAACAAATTTAGAGGATCTAGAATGGCCTGAGAGATAGAGAAATTTTGCTCAGTTTTTATTTTGCACACTTTATGAAGTCCCTCTTGCCCTTTCCTTGCCCAGAGTCTCCTGCCCAACTTTGCACAAAATCTTTGTCTCAGTTTTTCCCGCTTATTGAAATATATGCCTCTTTAGTTCTGCCCCATTCAAGCCCCTGCTGGTTACAGCAGGTGTTAAGGTCAGAAAACCAATTCAGGCTAATGAGTTAACCAGAAAATGGCTCAGGAAAATACTTTGACTCTTTAAAAGCATCCCTCAGGAAGGCAGTGATGTTGAGCCTGCCAGGTATTTTATGCTGGGGGGTGGTAGTGTGGTGCATTTTACAGTACATACTTTTGAAGCTTTCCATTCCCACTAATCCAAGTCTCCCAACACAGCCTGGCCATTTTTATATTCTGTGCATTCTAAGTTGAAGCAAGGATAAGGTTTTGCTTTTTTGCGTGTGTGTGTGTGTGTGTGTGTGTGTGTGTGTGTGTGTGTGTGTGTGTGTGTGTAGTATGCACCTATGGTCGATGCCCACACTAATGCATTTGATTGTGAAAGACTGAAGTCAACACAGTGTCTTCCTCTCTTGCTCTCCACATTTTTTTTTCAAGTAGGGTTTCTCATTGAACCCGAAGTTTACATATTGGCTAAACTGGCTGGCCAGTGAGCCCCCACATCTTCCTGTTTCTGTTCCCCTTAGCTGGGAATGCGTGCCCTGCTGTGCTCAGGTTTTCTGTGGGTGCTAGGGATCTGAGCTCGGTTATGCATGCTTGTACAGCAATCACCTTATCAATGGGGTCATCTCCCCAACCCTTGCTTTTTGTTTTCTATGTTGTCTAAAGGGGCCCAAACCTGTGGTCCCAAACCTCCTTTTATTTTTCAGTGCAAATGAGAGATGTGACATACTTATTTTTCTGAAAAGGCTTTAAGAATTACTGACTTGTCATATTTGGTGTGAAAAGAAGAAACGGA